GGTTCGGATGTTGAAAAAGTGCTCGCAGTTGTGGCGCGAAGCACATTTCCAACTCAAAATGTACAAAACACCGCATGTTCGCGCCACTTTTGGAGGTTCGGATGTTGAAAAAGTGCTCGCAGTTGTGGCGCGAAGCACATTTCCAACTCAAAATGTACAAAACACCGCATGTTCGCGCCACTTTTGGAGGTTCGGATGTTATATAGATAAATAGAGAGATAATTAGATAGATAGATAGATAGATAGATAGGGAGATTGATAGATAGACAGATAGACAGATAGATACGTAGACAGAGAGATCAGTAGGTAGGTCGGTAGATAATCAAAGAAAGATAGAGAAACAGAGAGAAAAAGAGAGAAAGAGAGAGAAAGAGTGAAAGAGATCAATCACCTTTCAGTCCATCAGTGGCTTCGCTCTGCCATCCGTGATTCACAACAACCAAGCTCTCCTATAGGTTTCCTATTTTTGAAACTTCCGCCACCGCCTTGTGCGGTACTACTGGTAACTGGGGTTATAACCCACTTACTAACTGGGATGAGCCACCAAGTAGGGCTTTCCCCAATGGGTAGCAGGACATCCGTCCTGCTTCGCAGCAGCTCCATGGCCGCAGACGCCTCCCGCCAGGCGCCGGTACCGGCGCCGACGGCGACCAAGGCGCCCAGGTGGAAGGCGTTGAGGCGAAGGGACGAGGAGGGCAGGGCCTGGCTTGCCGTGGGGATGGGAGGAGTTCGGATGGGATTTTCTAGGGAACTCAAGGGAAATATATATGGGAAACTATGGGAAAACTACGAAATTTATGGGAACATATGTCCGTTTTTTGAAGGGATGGGGCACAAAAGATTAAGTTTGTTAAGGATTCTTGATGAGAAAACGCATGGAAACTTGTGAAATTATAGCACATTTGTCAGTCGTGTGAATGATTTGAATGGTGTCTGCATGATTCTGTGATGGATTCTACCTGAAAAAATATCTGGGCAAATGATAATATTTCACTAACCTGAATAGTTCGGCCATTTGGGGATGATTCCCCTATAAAAACCGCAGTGAGGTCGTGATGAAATTTACCCAGAAATATTAGACAATTATGGCATTGTAGGACTCTCAGAGTTCTGGAGAACATATCATGGTAATCTAACCTGATACTGTATCGCCAACAGTAGGTTGGCATGTTTTTTTAGAAACTTACCATATATGGATTCCTGTCATTCATAAATGCAACAAAAAATGGGTGCCACGATCTGACAAACGTCAATAGGATGCGACTATCCCATGGGCCTTCGCCTCTGCAAAAGTCTGAAGCATTAGGAAGGAGCCCTAAAGTCAGAACATCTTTTTAGATGCTAAGGCTCCAAAAACCATCGAAATCGGATCACACAAATTGGAGTTGTTTTTTTGGAGGGCAAAAAAACATTTGAAATTCTCATGTTTTTTTTGAATGTAACTCTGATAGTTCAATTTAATTTTGAGAAATCTAGCATCAACAACCATCAACGTACATCAACAATGGGGACCATTCCATTCATTGCCTATGTTTTCTTTGTTATGCATTTTTCGTCAGAAAAAACAAAAATTACTCGGAATTTGAGGAATGCATCAAGAGAAATGTGATCTTGCCAATACTGAAATGACATGGAAAATCAACGTCCACCAAAACATGGGGCAATTTTCCACACAAAAACATAAACATCCATCAACAATGGTGATTTCAGGGATACTGGCCATCGAAACTTGGAATATCATTGGATTTAACGGCATCAAATAACTGATTGGTGGTTTCAACCATCTTGAAAAATATGAGTTCGTCAATGGGAAGGATGACAACCCATATATTCTGGAAAATAAAAGCCATGTTCCAAACCACCAACTTGAACGGCATCAAATAAGTTCGAGGTTGTGGAATCTAAGTATACAGCCTGCCAAAGAATGATTAAACATAAGGAAGTCACACCGAGAGCCCCCTTTTTCTGGGGGTCTACGTTGATTGTTTGATGGTGTCCCAAAAAAATGACCTGTGGTTACGGAGCGAATCCCTGCTAGCCCCATTTCCAACTTTCAGGTAAGAAGGTGCAGCCCATTACTTTTAATCATGTGAAACATCCCCATTCGATCACTCCATAAGCATCTAGACTCTTATGGAAAATCACAGCAAATCTTACCAATTAATTCATTCCATGAAATTTACTTAATTGTGTTTCATCAATGTTCATCAAGGAATGGTATTCCATCTGTAATCATATAGGAAAGACAACTTTGAGCTTGTATGTGTTCCGTATGACTTCCCAGTGTAATTTTCTTATCAAACTACTACTAATATTTGTAATAGTGGAATCATGTTGCATAAACCAAATGTATCAGCTACATAAATATAACTAGTCATTAGTGATTATTTGATTGATTATAGAATCATAATCAATCAAATAATCACTAATGACTAGTTATATATATATATACATATAAATCAATCATGTATAACATTGTATAATCATCGTTGATAATCTACAATCCCATTGTATTCCCATCCAACTCCCTTTTGGTTCCAATCGATTTCGCCTGCAGGAGTCTCCACGCACTTTGCACATCTCGGCACTGTCGCAAGCGCCGGGTGGCAGACCTTTCCTGTCGCGGCAAGCGGAAACGGAGATATGTCGTCATATCAAACAATAATGATATTAACAATGGATGATTTGAGTGGTCTACAATCTCTGGTTGGTGGTATACCTACCCCTCTGAGAAAAAAATGGAGTTCGTCAGTTGGGATTATTCTTCCCAATATATGGAAAAATGAAATTCGTGTTCCAAACCACCAACCAGATGAGTAATGAATATTAGTAATTAATATGTGATACTAATAGTATGTGATACATAACTATGGCAAATCGATATTTTTAATGGGTAAATCAACTATTTCTATGGTCATTTTCAATAGCTTTTTGTATGTTTACCAGAGGGTAGAGTTTCCATGGAATTTAGAAATGACCTCAACAAGGGGTGCACTTCGTTTCCACAAACTGCCGGGAAAGGACACCTGCATGGGCACCTTTGTCGAAAAACAAAAAAAAATGGTCACAGGTCCCATACTTAAGCCATGATAATGTCCAGTGAGGTCGATTTCATTATAATTACAACACAATCAATGGGAATTTCAGGATCCTAAATTGGAGGTACCTACCATATATAAGGCCTATATAAGGGCTATGTAAGGGAATATCCCCAGAAATACCCACACATAAAAAAAGAAGGTACGAGAAGACCAATCCCTATCATATAAGCCCAAACGATAACTGAGCAACTACAAAACGAAATCGGCATTGTTGGCCCTGTGACCAAAACAAATCGATGGGAAAAGAAACAAATCAATGATCATGCCATGTGTATATATATATGATAATATATCTCAATATATATATATATATAATTATATATATATATAAATAACAGGCATCCAAGAATCCAACCAAGTCTACTAGGCACGTAATTGCAAAGAACGGGCCCCGAGTTCTCCTGGTGAAGTCGGATTTGAGAGGAAACAACAAAGATTGACAAAGGTGAATAGCACCGTTTAGAACAAGTACTTACTTTATATATATATATAGGCTATACATGGCTATACTGCCCTACATATACATGTAAATACTATATATAATCATATATATATATATATGTCTTAAATCTACAGTATATGGCTATAACCTATAAACTTTATGTTAAAATGCTAGGTGGTCAGTGGTCACCACACACTCCCCTGGGCCAGTCGCCTCCGCCTCAATCAATCCACGCCCGGTTTGATGAACGGTGGCTGGTTTGGGAAGCAAGTCCATGAGCCATTTGGCTGCAAGATCAATGAAAAGAGGACGATTTTGGGCTGTTGGTGCTTGAACCAAGCATCTGGAAGATACGCTCGTTCATGGGGATCAATTGTTCATTTCTATGGTTGGAAATAAAGCCCTTTACACCACCAAGCAGAAAAATTTCTGCTTCAATCACTATCTTAGTTGTTTATGTAGTAAATCCGTATTAAAACCTGGTTGGTGGTATACCAACCCCTCTGAAAAATATGAGTTCGTTAGTTGGGATTATGACATTCCCAATATATGGGAAAATACCAACAACCAGAAACTATTTCCCCACAAACTGGCAGATTTTTTGATTTTGTTCATCATCCCATCCCCCTACTAGTTATATATATAAACACCCTCAGAAAGCAGCGGCAACGGTGGGATGGGGATTCCGGGATTATCAACATATCCAACGATTGACACACCCTATGGTATTATTGATAATGGATTACTAAAATAATGGATTACTAATGGATTACTAATGGATTAATAATGGATTACTAAAATGGATTGTTAAATCTAGTTTGTATTATTAATAATGGATTACTATTGTCAATCACTATTAGCTAATGTAATTCGTGTATTAAATCATCACTATTGATAATGGATCACTATTGTACTAGTATCAATCAATTGATGTATTAAACTATCACTAAATTTCATAATGGGATTAATTTGCTGGATTAATAATTATATCATTAATTGATCCATATTGGATGTTAACCACTATTGATGGATTAATTTGAGCCAGTAAAAATACCACTATCCCATATCATGAAATACTAGTTGGTTGATAAGCTTCCATGGGTTATCATAATCCCCAGTAAATTAGCTAGTAAAAGTGTATAAGTCCCTAAAGTAACCAATCAACCAGCAGGGATGACCAGGGTATCTTTTAATGGCTGCTCCGGTCTCACTCCTACGCCCAAGTGCTCCGAAAAAGGACCGGGTGGTCTCAAACCACCCAGCCCCTGGTGAAGCACAACTGGTTGCCATCAAAGATATGGCTCAAACATTGGACCAAAAAATCCGCCAAAATGGTTGCAAACATGCGAATTTACCATCTAAAAATGAGATTTCACTGGTGAATAGTGGATTTGTGTTTGTCATGTTCAGTTTCAAACCATGTCAAACCATTTCAATCCTACCATTATCTACCATTC